AAAGCTCTACTATGAACATTGGTCATCCACTATACATTTTTTTATATCTTAAATGAAAGAAGACATCTACAAGAACAAATCTGACTAAGAATGCACCAACCAGTCAGCATTTAACTCAAGATATAAGGTCCTATATGTTATTGCTGAAAGCGAAAATGGTAAAAAGGCCATGTTTTGTCCTTAAATGTCTCATTTCTAGGCACTAGTATACCAATAAAGGTTCTGAAATATCTGAAAAACATTAAATAATACATAATATTGATAAAGAATAACTACAACATTGTTAAAGTTTATAAATTCAAGTTATTTTACATTTTCATATGTTTCAGTAATTTTTCATAATAAATGGGGTAGGGGAGATCTGAAAGCTCTAATATGACCATTGGTGGTCCAATATACATTTTTTGTATCTGAAATGGAAGAAGACATGTACAAGAACAGATTTGATCAAAATTGCAAAGACCAGTGAACATTAAACTTAAGATATAAGGAACTATATGTTACTGCTGAAAGCGAAAATGATCAAAAATGCCATATTTTGTCCTTAATTATCTTATTTCTAGACACTAGTACACTAATGAAGGTCCTTAAACATCTGAAAAACATCAAATAATACATAGTGTTAATATTAAATAGCTAGAGTTTTGTTTGAGTTGAACATTTTGACTTTTTGTAGTTTCCATTTTTAGCCTATTTTTTCTAAAAAATTCAAGGTATGTCTTCTTCGGACCAATATTTAGATATGTTCGCAAGAGTTCTATGCTTCGCAGGCGAAATCCCTTGTGCAGGAAACCCTAATATGATGAAAAATTCAGAGAAACTCCATCCAGCTCACAAAGTCATTTTTTGCACAATTCTCACACCTTCCACCCCGAGTATACTGGTTAAAGGTCAAATCTTTAGAAAGTGGAATATGAAAGAATTAGCCCAGATTTCAACTGCACTGGACATATGGGTTCAGTTCTGAAAAACAGGGTATAGGAACTGATGGACAAAGAGCCTTTTGAAAAAAAATACAGTGAGGATGTATTTCTGAAGAATGTGAGGAATGTGCTTAGAGGATTATACAATGCTACACCTTTATCTGAATTTTAATTGAAATCATATCCGTCCAGATAAGCTGCTGTTTGAGCAGCAACTGGTGGTCATACCAACTACTATGAATCAGCTGTAAATCTGTATAATTATACCATTTCAAGCTGAAATTTCCCAGGTAACTCCAGAATTAAATTGTCTTTAAAATGAGATATGACACACCATGTAACATTAAGTACTTTTTGCTGTAGAGGGGGGTGCCGTGGTTTTTTTGACACCCTGTATATTACATTACATATCATATTCTATACAAACAAATTTTTTTTCTGAAACAGTTCCTCATTTTTATGCTTGAAATAATCTGGTAGCAGTATTGTCTTTCCTATGACAATACTTGTGCCATGTTAAATGTAAACATATACATCTAATATCAAGATTATCTCACACAGTATTGTGTGAGGGGAACTGAAATATTTTTTCTAAAAGAGTGGCTGTGACTTTCGATTAATTCAATGATATTCCCACAGAAGTTATCCCCATAACTAGCAAGTCTTGATTTGAGAGTTGCTGTGACTTACCATTAAGTCAATGATATGTCCCACACATGTTATCCCCATAGCTAGCATGTCTTGGTTTGAGAGTCACTGACTTACCATGAATTCAATGATATGTCACACAGATGTTATCCCCATAGCTAGCATGCCTTGGTTTGAGAGTTGCTGTGACTTACCATTAATTCCATGATATGTCTCACAGATGTTATCCCCATAGCTAGCATGTCTTGGTTGAGAGTCACTGTGACTTACCATTAATTCAATAATATGTCCCACAGATGTTATCCCCATAGTTAGTATGTCTTGGTTTGAGAGTCACTGTACCATTACCATTAATTCAGTGATATGTCCCACATATGTAATCCCCATAGCTAGCATGTCTTGGTTTGAGAGTCGCTGTGACTTACCATTAATTCAATGATATGCCCCACAGATGTTATCCCCATAGCTAGCATGTCTTGGTTTGAGAGTCACTGTGACTTACCATTAATTCAATGATATGTCCCACATATGTTATCCCCATAGCTAGCATGTCTTGGTTTGAGAGTCACTGTGACTTACCATTAATTCAATGATATGTCCCACAGATGTTAACCCCATAGCTAGCATGTCTTGGTTGAGAGTCACTGTGACTTACCATTAATTCAATAATATGTCCCACAGATGTTATCCCCATAGTTAGTATGTCTTGGTTTGAGAGTCACTGTGACTTACCATTAATTCAATGATATGTCCCACACATGTTATCCCCATAGCTAGCATGTCTTGGTTTGAGAGTCACTGTAACTTACCATTAATTCAATGATATGTCCCACACATGTTATCCCCATAGTTAGTATGTCTTGGTTTGAGAGTCACTGTGACTTACCATTAATTGAATGATATGTCTCACAGATGTTATCCCCATAGTTAGTATGTCTTGGTTTGAGAGTCACTGTGACTTACCATTTATTCCATGATATGTCCCACAGATGTTATCCCCATAGTTAGTATGTCTTGGTTTGAGAGTCGCTGTGACTTACCATTAATTCAATGGTATGTCTCACAGATGTTATCCCCATAGCTAGCATGTCTTAGTTTTGAGAGTTGCTGTGACTTACCATAAATTCCATGATATGTCCCACAGATGTTATCCCCATAGCTAGCATGTCTTGGTTTGAGAGTCACTGTAACTTACCATTAATTCAATGATATGTCTCGCAGATGTTATGGCCATAGCTAGCATGTCTTGTTTAGAGAGTTGCTGTCACTTACCATTAATTGAATGATATGTCCCACAGATGTTATCCCCATAGTTAGTATGTCCTGGTTTGAGAGTCACTGTGACTTACCATTAATTGAATGATATGTCTCACAGATGTTATCCCCATAGTTAGTATGTCTTGGTTTGAGAGTCACTGTGACTTACCATTTATTCCATGATATGTCCCACAGATGTTATCCCCATAGTTAGTATGTCTTGGTTTGAGAGTCGCTGTGACTTACCATTAATTCAATGGTATGTCTCACAGATGTTATCCCCATAGCTAGCATGTCTTAGTTTTGAGAGTTGCTGTGACTTACCATAAATTCCATGATATGTCCCACAGATGTTATCCCCATAGCTAGCATGTCTTGGTTTGAGAGTCACTGTAACTTACCATTAATTCAATGATATGTCCCACATATGTTATCCCCTTAGCTAGCAAGTCTTGGTTTGAGAGTTGCTGTGAATTACCATTAATTCCATAATATGTCTCACAGATGTTATGGCCATAGCTAGCATGTCTTGTTTAGAGAGTTGCTGTCACTTACCATTACTGCAATGATATGTCCCACATATGTTATCCCCTTAGCTAGCAAGTCTTGGTTTGAGAGTTGCTGTGAATTACCATTAATTCCATAATATGTCTCACAGATGTTATGGCCATAGCTAGCATGTCCTGGTTTGAAAGTTGCTGTGACTTACCATTAATTCAATGATATGTCCCACAGATGTTATCCCCATAGCTAGCATGTCTTGGTTTGAGAGTTGCTGTGACTTACCATTAATTCAATGATATGTCCCACAGATGTTATCCCCGTAGCTAGCATGTCTTGGTTTGAGAGTTGCTGTGACTTACCATTAATTCAATGATATGTCCCACAGATGTTATCCCCATAGCTAGCAAGTCTTGTTTTGAGAATTGCTGTGAATTACCATTAATTCCATGATATGTCCCACATATGTTATCCCCATAGCTAGCATGTCTTGTTTAGAGAGTTGCTGTCACTCACCATTAATTCAATGATATGTCCCACAAATGTTATCCCCTTAGCTAGCATGTCTTGGTTTGAGAGTTGCTGTGATTTACCATTAATTCCATGATATGTCCCACATATGTTATCCCCTTAGCTAGCATGTCTTGGTTTGAGAGTCACTGTGAATTACCATTAATTCCATGGTATGTCTCAGAGATGTTATCCCCATAGCTAGCATGTCCTGGTTTGAGAGTCATTTTGACTTACCATTAATTCAATGTTATGTCTCACAGATGTTATCCCCATAGCTAGCAAGTCTTGGTTTGAGAGTCGCTGTGAATTACCATTAATTCAATAATATGTCCCACAGATGTTATCCCCATAGCTAGCAAGTCTTGGTTTGAGAGTTGCTGTGAATTACCATTAATTCCATGATATATCCCACATATGTTATCCCCATAGCTAGCATGTCTAGGTTTGTGAGTCACTGTGACTTACCATTAATTCAATGATATGTCTCACAGATGTTATCCCCATAGCTAGCAAGTCTTGTTTTGTGAGTCACTGTGACTTACCATTAATTCAATAATATGTCTCACAGATGTTATCCCCATAGTTAGTATGTCTTGGTTTGAGAGTCGCTGTGACTTACCATTAATTCCATGATATATCCCACATATGTTATCCCCATAGCTAGCATGTCTAGGTTTGTGAGTCACTGTGACTTACCATTAAGTCAATGATATGTCTCACAGATGTTATCCCCATAATTAGCAAGTCTTTTTTTGAGAGTTGCTGTGACTTACCACTAAGTCAATGATATGTCTTACAGATGTTATCCCCATAGCTAGCATGCCTTGGTTTGAGAGTTGCTGTGACTTACCATTAAGTCAATGATATGTCTCACAGATGTTATCCCCATAGCTAGCATGTCTTGGTTTGAGAGTTGCTGTGACTTACCATTAATTCAATGATATGTCCCACAGATGTTATCCTCTTAGCTAGCAAGTCTTGGTTTGAGAGTTGCTGTGACTTACCATTAATTCAATGATATGTCTCACAGATGTTATCCCCATAGCTAGCATGTCTTGGTTTGAGAGTTGCTGTGACTTACCATAAATTCAATGATATGTCCCACATATGTTATCCCCATAGCTAGCAAGTCCTGGTTTGAGAGTTGCTGTGACTTACCATTAATTCAATGATATGTCCCACAGATGTTATCCCCATAGCTAGCATGTCCTGGTTTGAGAGTCGTAATAACTGCTTCCCTCCAATATGGTTCTGTAAGAACACATCTGAATACTGGACTAGACTGGAGACATTCCCTGAAAGGGAAAATATGTCATTCACATTAATTAAATATTTTTGTGTTAAATACCTTAAATGATAGGACCTTTCATTTGAAATGTAGGTTTACTGCAAAGATATGCAATTTACACATTCTACCTGGACAGATTCTGTAAATCTTAATCCAATTGTTTAGTCAAGGCAAGCGCAACTGAAGTACTGGACAGCATTTAATGCAGGCACACTTTACCCAGTCTCTTTATGAAACAATCCTCCATAACCACCTTTTGTGGTGGGGCCATAATATTTAATCTAACTGACTGGCTCTCTTTAGGTTTTACAATGCAACATTGTCTTTTTTATTTAGCTTTAACTCTTTTGACCGGTAATTAGCAAATTTGCTACATTGCTAGGATCTGTAATTAATCTCTTGAAAATTGACTAATTTTGACCGATTATAGTCAAACAGTCAGTGATCAGATGTTGATCAAATTTTTAGTAAATGATGTCAATATAGTGTTCTACCATTTCAAACCATCAAAACATACATATTCCAGCATATAGACTAGCAATTACATCATTGATAATGATATCAATGAGAAAAATAGAGTAAAATAATATTCTATATAATAATAAAATAAAATGATACCATCCAAAAATCCAATTTAAATCCTCATTTTCACCTCGTTTCATCAAGTTTCGTTTTCACTGTACGATTCATTGAATATTTGATCCAAATTGTTCTCAGTAGCGAAACAGCTTAATTCCTCACTGCAGACAAATCTTCCTATCCCACCCCATCTTATAATAAGTTATAACTTACCCTGATGGCCTAGTTGTTTTATCCATTGGCACTAAAATAAATCAGTAAAACACATAATGAGTTCAAGCCAAGGTCAAATTGAAGTGCATTTATCTCCATTTTTCAATATCACTATGCACATACCATACATCTAGTATTAACAACTGAGCCAGACTGAAAACCAGGCAAACACATCCACAAGGTTATTCTTAGATTGTAATGTTATTAACCATTGTACATAAAAATAATATAAGGAAACCATTTTCTAATTGATAAACTTTGATTTCATCATTTGAATATGTACAGGGTGTCCAATAAATAAGATGATAGATATTGTAACTTTCTTAATATTGCTTTCTTAATATTGAGTTTGTGGCCCAAACCTTTTTACCTTTATTCTTTGAATTTAAAGCGTGGGTGAATAGGCATAAGAAGTGTACAGCTAGAGATGGACATTATGTTGAATAGCTTATTTTCATAACAATGGGACTTTAGGACTGTTTTTTTTATTGTATTTGTGGTAGTAATAGATCTGAGAGTATGAATAAAGCTCTCAGAAAGAATAAATATGTTTTGGAAAGTTCTGACATCAACAAACTTGCCCCGTCTTTTTGTTGTTTCGGTTGCTATAGCAACCACAACTCTGGCCAATCAAATGGAAGACGCTTTAAATTCACAGATTAAAGGTGAACAGGTTTGGGCTACAAACTCTGAAAATTTCATCAAGATTGGTGCAATATTAAGAAATTCAAAATGGCCACCAAACTCACACTACTAAAAGCCTAAAAATACCTATACATACCAAGATGTATCCCTGAAGAGTAAGCATTATCATGGTTTGCTACTAAATACAAACACAATTCATTAACAAAAGATGTAATTGCACCAACTCACCACATCAACATCTCTCCAGGCCTGCACATCATGGGAGTCAAGGTGCTGGAAGACATAAAGAAGAACAAAATATGAGCAATCTCATGATTAACTTATCAGGGTTATACCCTCTCCCGCTCTTCTTAACTGGATTCATATTCCCTTATGTACATTAATGTTAATCAAAGTTAATGTAGATTGTACATATGACATGTACTTGCCATATTTGTAATTTGATTAAAATGTTCTTTTTTAAGGAAGACAGTTGCCAATAATCAATCAGCATACCTGAATAATTTTCATATTCACCCAAAAATAGAGATCTCTCAAAAACACATTCACATTACCAGAGAATGGAATATTATACGGAAGCAACTTATTACAGTAGTCTATGAAGTCATAGGACCAATGGATAACATTCAACTGATAAGAGTAAATGATTGAAATTATGCAATAAATACGATTGGCATGAAAATTGAGGTGGGTGTGGTTCTCAGCATAAACATCATATTATATTTATAGGTTATGTCACTATGACATGAAATATGTCTGAGTTCTCCCAATATAGGGCGACCTTAGGAGGCTCTATTGGGAAAGACCAAAGGCATATATCACATCATAGTGACATAACTGATGTATTACATACCTTTATTCTCATTGCTACTTTGTATCAATGACGTCACACATCGTGCAATTTGATTGAAATGAAACCTGACATCATAATATTGTCATGGTTATTAAAGAATCTAATATCAAAACGAGGTAAGGGGGTTATATCTGGGTGATCTCTTATAAATCACCATAATAGTTAGCAATAAGACGTATTTCACTTTTAATGAGGAGACTTACAGCGGCTTTGATATGTTGCTCAAGGTGCTGCTCCCTCTCTGTGACTTTCTGCTCCCTCTCTCTCAGCTCCCTCTCTTTAGTAGATAAATCATGCTCCATCTTCTTGAGGCGCATCAGTGTTACCTCTATTTCCTCCCTAGTGAATAATCTATGCATGTACTGGTACATAATGATTGACACAACAGATGATGAATGTCATATTCAACTCAGGCCTAATAGGGTGCTGTTTCAAAATATAGATTTTTTGTAATATACCCTCCCCTCCTCTAAGAATGCAATTTTTCTGTAAACCTGGCTTTTCCTTACATAATTAATCTTATTTGACCTGGCCCCTTATTCCTTCACTAATATTCACTGGCCCTGGCACTTAATAAATTTACAATTATCTAATTTACTCACTGCCACTCTTTCTTGTGCTCCAAGAATGAGTTGGTTTCATCTGAGAGGCTTTCTGAAATGTCAATTATTTTTTTACAGATGAAACCTGAAGTATATTTTATATGGCAGTACTATTATCTGGATGTTTATACATACAACACTAACTTCTAGTAGTCTCAATTTTTGACACAAGTCCTGCTCTGACTATACATTATAAAGCTAAAATGACAATTTCAGTGTCTTAAATATAAAATAAATCTATTTCAAAAGGTTCATCAGATCATGTTTTATATTACAAATACTACTGCATTACTGTAAGCTTATACTAATTTTATGTATTGTATTTTAAAAGCTTTATTTTGTTGCAGTCTTGAGTTAGAAAAAATCTAATATTGTAACAAAATGATAACCCCACCATCATCAAACATGTTATCCAGCTGGTACAGGATCTCTCTGAATGTGGGTCTTTCCTTTGGCTGTGTGTCCCAGCAGCTTTGCAGAAGGTCAGCAAATACATGGGGACAACTTGAGGGGATGGTCAAACGCTGCAAAATAGGGCTATACTTCCAATAAATCATATCAGATGATAAAATATATTTGATTTCGATAAGTTGGGTTTTAATATTTTTGGGTATGCAGGACACTTTACATCACATAATTCACCATTACAGAAATCTAGTAATCTGTGCAAACAAAGGCTTATTGCCCTACTATGTTCTCATTTAAATCATTATTGATTAATGAAGAACAACTAAATAACAGCACAATCACAATTCTAGTAAACTTTACACCATATATTATTGCTCAGATGACAACATTACAATATAGAGATTCCAAGATGGCTGAAATTTGAAAACAGAAGCTTTCACAGATCAGAGCTGCCATTTGATTCAGTGTCTTTGGAGAGCAAACCAAACAGAAAAGATGAATCTGATTTAGAAATTGTGTGGTAAAAATGCTTTTTGCTGTTTTCAACATAATGAAGGATGAGTTCAGACTAATCATTTGTCATCAAGGGTCACAGCACAAAAAGGCAAAATACCTAGATATTGACCTTTCGGCTAGGAATGACCTAGACCCATGAAGATGACCTTGACCCTAGGTCAACTAATCATGGGTTGTCAAAAGTCACAGCACAGACCAAGGGTCTTATAAAGCCAAATATCATAATCATTGGTCACCAAAGGTCTGACCTTTGACCTAGTAATGACCTTGACCTCAGGTCACCTAATAATGGATTGCCAAGAGCCTTCAAATGCATTAAAACACAAGATACCAAGATACTGACCTTTGACCTTGAAATCACCTTGAACCATTAACTTGACCTTTACCTCAGGTCACCTAATCATGGGGTCAAGGGTCACAGCACAGACCAAAGGTCTTAAAAGGCCAAATACCAAGATATTGACCATGGAATGACTTGACCAATGAAGTTGACCTTGACCTTGGGTCACCTAATCATGGGTTGTCAAATCATGGGTTGTCACAGCACAGACCAAGGGTCTTAAAAAGCCAAATATTCTAGATTTACCTTTTACCTTTGACCTTGATCTCTGACGTTTGTAGAATGCCCAGAAACTCACTTAGTATGTTGACCAATTATGAGGGCCCAAGGTCAAATGGTCTAAGAGGAGATGTCTGGACAGAGAGACAGACCTTTGTGCAATAAAGTAAGAAGATCTGTAAGAAGCAGCATCAGCATATAAAATTTGAACCAAATTTGTCCACTGGTATCTGTTTTATCAAAAAAATGATTTTTTGAAATTCACCTGTCATCTTGAAAAGTTCTTCTCAAGCAGAGCTCTTTGTTCCTAGGCATCAGCATATAAAATTTGAACAATCACTGGTATTTGAGTTATCAAAGATTACGTATTTTACAAAAAATGACAGCCATTTTGAAATTCAGCAACCATCTTGAAAATGTCTACTTGAGCAGAACGTTTTTGTCTCTAGGCATCAGCATATACAATTTGAAAATGGTGGCCATTCTGAAATCTGTTGAAAGTTCATTCTGTGGCCCTAGGCAATCAGCATATAAAATTTGAGTAGTATTTTAGTTATCAAAGAAAACATTTTTTACGAAAAAATGTTGCCATTTTAAATTGAATGGCCATATTGAACATTCCTTTTCAAGCAGAGGTCCTACACCAACTATAAAATCAAATCCATCAACTGGTATTTGATTTATTGATTCTGATGGCTTCAGGGCACAGTATCACCAGTGGGTTGAACGCCAGCAACTGCATTAAACACAAGGGAAAGTAATGGGACAATACATATGACTATGAAAAGTAGTAGAATGTATACATCAAAAGCAGATAAGAAGAAATGCATGTGATTCACTCACATGCGACGTAAAAGTGCCCCACCTACCCAAAAGTAAGTTACATAGTAACCGTTGTTTTTGACAAATCAAATTACAGATGCTGATTTTAGAAATCAATAACAAGATATTTTTTGATGATGTGTGAAAATTTCCTGAAAAAATATCAAAAACATTTGAAATGAGAGCATTTTCCCACAAACTTATTGAATGAATGATCTGGTATATAAAGCTAGAAATAATTTAATTGGAATTCACCATCAAGGGCTTATACAGACATCTGACATATCCCTCGTTCACAGTCCCAGTTTTGATGTCACATTGCCCAATGATATCAAAAAGGCATTTATATGATCAAATGTCACCACCTGGAGCAATAACAAAGGGGTACAGTAATCATTTCTCAGAGACACTGAATGTTAACACCATAATATCGATGTCTCAACAATATGAGTACATTAACTCATGTACATTGTATGTGTGGTAATGCAATAAATAAAAATTGAAAAAATTATAGCTAGAGCCAGTACCATTTTATTAAAATGTTATGAAGTGTATGCAGACCTACCTCTCCCATCTCAACAACTAGCCATGCAACCTGGAATCCTTCTATATCTTTAAATGGAACCTCATGTGTCAGCATCTCCCATAGAACCTACAGCAGAATGGCACCATTATATAGGGTGACACAAAAAAAGTGCCACTCGCATAATGCTACATAACTTTTTTGTCTGCATGGACTTCGACTTTTTCTTTAGTAGATTAAAACTATACTCAATGGAGCAGCTCCATTCCTTTGCAGCACACATTTGGATTCTACTGACAAAGTTGTTATCACATTTGCCTGACATGAACCCTCCAAATTTTTATCACTGTGAGTACTTGAAGGATAATGTGTATGAAACAACCCCCTGAACCATGGAAGACCTAATAAAGAGAGAGATTGCCAGAGAGATCAGAGCCATTTATGTGAATGTGTTAGGGTCGCCAATAACTCTACCCATAAAATCCAGGTATGCCTGATATTTAGAGCACATCTTGTAAAGCTCATAAAAGTGCATCTAGTTGAGCTAGTCATCTGAAAATTCTTGGAGTTAATCCATGCAGTCTAATTTTATTATGGAAGGGGACTTAAGTCAGAAATCATGCAGACAAAAAAGTTATGCAACATTATGTGCGTGGCATTTTTTGTGTTGCCCTGTATTTACTGTACATGTATATATATTCCAGGGTGGAGAATAGAAGACACAGCTGCAGACTGTGACTCACATAACTTTTCACCACAGTACAGTGTCAAAATTAACAAGGTTATTTTAACAACACAATATAGTCTCCATTGGCATTCTATGCAAATGCAATGCAGTTCAGCTGCGAATCATAAAATGTCAGATAGTATAAACTTTATTCATGCTCTTATAGTTTCAGGAAAAGATCATCATCACTTAACTTTTTGATGTATTTCTGAGGTCCTTCTTAAAAGCTGCTGGAGAAGGGGACACTAACTATTTCAGACATCATGAAAATATAGGTTAAGTTCTCCAAAATACTTAAGAGTTGGTGAGTTATGTAATTTCGGGTGATCTTTTCAATGGTATATCACACATGTAGTATCATCCATCAATGTTTTATGAGTGTCGGACTGTGTTGGGCAGATGGATGGATTGCGGCTATTCTAAACACAAATCTTCTCAATAATGGTATGTTTCCCGCTTTCCAAAAATCACATGTAGGTAGAAGTTATTTTGTTAACAGTACTTGTATTTCGATAAAAAATTGATGATACTTATTCCTTTGTTTAAATTGGTATATTAGGGACAAAATTTGACAAGTTAACATTTATATTGTGGCTGGTTTCGAATTTGTGTGTGTTCGTGCTAATATTGCGTTGTAGCCTCATTTTGAATTATGCGAGTTGCTTTAACTTGATTCTCCACATTATGGAGCTCCTTTGTCCCTAAGCATCAGCATACAAATTTGATCCATATCCATCTACTGGTATTTGAGTCATTCAAGATTCTGTTTTTAAAAATGGCAGCCATTTTGAAATTCAGTGGCCATCTTGAAAATGTCTCCTTGAGCAAAGCTCTAGGCATCAGCATATAAAATTTCAAATATAAATGACCAAATCTGTCAAGTGGTATTTGAGTTACCAAAGATCAGAGGTCCTTCACCCATAAGGCAAAAGCCTTTAAAATTTTAAGCAAAGCTGTTGATTGGCATTAGAATTATTTGAGTCCAAACACACAAACAGACCAATGGACGAAGGATGGCTTTTCTATATCCCTCCCGATCTTCATTCAAATGGGATAATAAATATCCCTGCAGGAACCATGGTAATCAAAAGAAACATTGATTCAGCAAGTAAAATTAGGTCTTCTGGGACCTCTGATCAATGAAAACATTTAGATACATATCTGTTTCAAAGTTGCTCTTTTAGTTAGATCTGGAAACAGACTTACCACTCCATATGACCAGGTGTCACAAGCTTCTGATACTGGTAGACTTTGGATCACCTGAAATGACGAAATCAAAAATTCTATACTTTGCTTCAGTGTTTGAAAGATAATTTTTGAAACTTACAGTTGGGTATCCATATCTGTAATCCACGGACAAAAGCTCATTGAAATATTTACATATTTTATCTACTAAAGAAGGCATGTCCATAAAACATTACATGACTATGGCACCCAGAATCTTCTTTAAAATGTGCCTAGTACAAGCAAGAATCTGGTTACTTTCCCATACATATTTCCCGCCATTACGTCAGATAGAGAATAAAGAAGAAAACAAGGGGACCTGATACTATAATCAAGTAGTACTAAACAAAAAAAATTATTCTAGCCAACTGTCCAGACAACAGGGGTATCTACTTTACAAAACTTGTGGTGTGTGTGGTGAAAGTTGATGCCTAAAGCTCCATACCTCAGGTGCCATCCAGGGAAAGGTCCCAGCCAAAGACATTCTTGTGGTGCTACCCAGGCACCTGGATGCTCCAAAATCACACAGCTGCAACAGAAATGAACACTGCAAACTGAATTCCTTCATATTATTTCCATTTCTAAAGGATACATCAGGAAATGGGTCAAGATATCAACTTAGAAAATATCAAAAAATATAATGTCTGAAAAAGCAAACATATTATTAAGCCTCAACATCTGGGTTTGTAGAAAAAACCGGGTACCGGGTACCGGGTAGTAAATCCTCCATGCTGGGTTCAAATTTGGTACCTGGTACCCGGTCGAAAAAACCGGGTACCCAAAAAACGAAAAATACGATTATATAACATATTTAGATCATTAGAAAACGTGTAAGATTTGTTTTGAATATACAAAAATGTATGTAACTTCCTTCAAAATTGAGCTAGAAGCTTCAAATAAAAAGCATTTTAAGGTTCGTTCCTCTATCATCATGGTCATATTTTCATAGGTTATGGGGTGGGGTGCGATCGCCTATGACATTGTAAGACGTAACAATTTACACTTCAGTGGACGTTTCGTCGAAAATTGGGATAACTTAAATTATGATTAATAATCAAAATCTTACACGTTGCATCATGTAAATTAACACACGTCACCTCTCTGCTAAAATAACGATAGCTATTTACAGATTTAAATCATAATCAAAACTGTTCACGTACCAACATACGAACTATTGAAATTAGAGGTGACGAAAAATTTTGAACGGAATGCGTGACATATTCGTGATTCGCGTGAAAAGTCCGAACGGATTGCGTACGTTTTTTTTTGGTGTTCGTATTTTTGCTGTATCGGCGAACTGTTTTAGAATTTTTTCTACAGAAATATTTTTGCTTGACAATACCAGGTAAAATGCGTATTTGCGTGACATTTTCTGGCGTGACTTCAAATTCTTCAGCAAATGCGTGACAAATACGCAAATTGCGGGACAGTTGACAGGCCTAATAACCGATGAAAATATGACCATGATGATAGAGGAAGAAAAGAGCCTTAAAATGCTTTTTATTTGAAGCTTCTGGCTCAATTTTGAGGGAAGTTGCATACATTTTTGTATATTCAAAACAAATCTTACACGTTTTCTAATGATCTAATTATGTTGTATATTAGTATTTTTCGTTTTTTGGGTACCCGGTTTTTGACCGGGTACCGGGTACCAAGTATGAACCCAGCATGGAGGATTTACTACCCGGTACCCGGTTTTTTCTACAAACCCCTCAACATCTTATCCTTCTTCTGAGAGCCAAAAAATATCAATATATCAATTTGCATCATGATTAATGAAAAAAAATATTGGCATCAAATACAACCCATACAATTCTAGAATGAATTTTTTTTGACATTTCTGAATCAAAATTTGTGAAAGGAATTTTGACAGAAACTGCTGAGGAAAACAGTGATATTAATTGTAAACACGTGAACTAACCTTGCATGTCCAGTCATCTGTGACAACCACTGAAATCAATAAATAAAATAACTATAACTTTAGATTTAAATATTTATTCACTGTGATAACAATGCTTTATTTCCCCAAGTGGGAGGTACATATAAGATATCTCATCTGCCCAAGTCTAGGATAAATAATTGAAGTAGTTAATGCCAGCATCGTTGCAGTTCCTTGGTTAATATAATATATAATACAATGTACTTACTAGGGGTATTTCATATAACCAATACCTCTAATAACACAAATTCTCTATAAAGGAGGAGGGAAAGTATCGCAACAGATTTCGGACAGTCATATGTTGGGTTTTGGCTATTTTCTGAACATTTAAACAGGTGCATACATGTATGTAAGATTAATGCATTACCTCTAGGAAAAGCGCCCCAAGAGATGATAAAATGATTTCGACTTTGAGAAAGGGTCAGATGCAAACAACCCACTACATGTTATTTCTGAAAAGTATTCCTGATTTTCAACCCCTTCCACCCCTGCTTTTTCAATTTTTGTTGCATCAATACATTGGTTGTTGCATTTTGACACACAGTAAACCCCTTTAAAGGAATAAGTGATTCCTTCGGGAGTTTTAAAGATATCCATTATGGGTGACCAAAGTTAGCTGAAAGCAATGGATCGCATGAGTTTTCCCTACGGGAAAATAACATTGGAAATATTGTTTTCCACTTTATCCTGAAAATGGGTAGACAAGCCTTCATACACACGATTTTAGGACGAAAAAGCCAGAATGTCCAACTTAAAATTTACGCAGAATGACTAAAAAGTAATATCAGATTTTCATACTAGAAATCATTCCTAAAAATTTGAAATTGATCTACCAAACAGTTCACCTGAAAACGCGTAGACAAGATTTTAGGACGGAAAATCCAAAATTGCTGCCTTGACATTCACCTAGAATGCCAAAAAACTAATCAGATCTAGATTTTCATACTAAGAATCATCCCTGAAAATTTGAAATTGATCTACCAAGCGGTTCAACGCGTAGATAAGACTCTACAGACAAGATTTTAGGATCGAAAAATCCAAAATGGCCGACAATAAAAAAGTGATTATGAGTTTTTGCAGATTTCTTTTTATAAAATTAACGCATATAACTACTGTTACAAATAACATAGGCTTTTACAACAAAGTACACCTGAAATTATTTATTAAGCTACTAAATAGTTAAAGTATGAAAACTCAAAAACACCATTCAATATGATACAAAGTATTATCGCGCGTTAACTTTTCTTAAGACATTCGAAATGGCTGCTGAACTAACAGGTCCAAAACCTAATCAGATGTAGAATGAAGTGAACTGAACAAGATGTTAAAGTTTTAAAGGCAACTGTGAAGCCGTTTTTCTTAAAGTTTGCAGACAAGGATTTTAGCATTTGACTTCAAAATGGCCGAAAGGAAGTAGGTATGGAGTTAAAATTTTTTCATCCACATCTGTATGCACCCATAATTTATTCCTGAAAATTTGAAGGTGATATCTGTTGCGGTTTTGGAGAAAACTGCCGGACGTACCGATGGACAGACGGACGGACGGACAGACAGACAAACTGATGGACGCGCCTAGGCCGACAATATGGCCCCACACTATATTGTGGGAACATAAAAAGTCATTGTCTCAACTCATCTGCAGTCAAACTTACCATTCTTTGACTTCAGGTCTCTATGAATAACCTTAACTGGTGCTTCACTGTGTAGATAGTTCATTCCTAAGAATACAAATAAATGTTTAGGATTATATTTTCTAGCAAAAGATCATATAAAAAAACCACACTCAAAAGAAGTACATGTAAAATATAACTGAATTCATAAAAGTGAAAATAAACCATTTATGATTTGTAAAATATGTTTGATGGTCACTTTTATACATTCAATTTTTTTTAAAAGATTGATACTTTGGTTATTTGATTTTTTAGGAAAAAGTATTAATCTTAAATGAGTTGCTCATAAAATCCTGTATTTGACAGCCGAAAGTTGCATTAGCGAATACAAGCTTAGATACAAGTAGCACAGTTTGTGACCTTCTTTGATGACCTCGATCTTTGAAAACTTTACTTTTTCAGACCTCATTAAGTCTTTTGTGATTAAGCTGACCTAAAGAATTCAAAAAGTCAATTTGAAAAGTCAACAATTTTGACCTTTCAAAAATCATTAAAGGTCAACCAAAGGTCAAATATCAAATGTCTCAACTTGTAGATGATTTAAAAGAATCGAATTGGTCAATTTGAAACAAGTTGAACAAAGACCTTTTTACCTTCATTTACTCAAATTAAGGAAAATTTATCTCGATGGCAAAAGGCTACTTATTATAGAATACTAATCTATTTCTCTGCAAAAAAACAGGCAAATATAATTGAAGTGTAGTGTAGTGTCTATGGTGTTTAAACTGCTTCTTTATTCGGTACATTAATATTCCATTAATACCAAATAAAACAAACAATTTACCAAACCTTTACCCAATCTATCGAATGTTTTTATTTTATCAAATGTAATAATCTATACAATTTATATTCGCTAAATAGTTTCACTTGTTCTTTATATTGACATTCACATTTGATATTTATACATGTATTTGTGTGATGCAGCGAATCGATTTGTTTTCCTTAACGCACTTATAATTCAATTAATTATTTGTACATTCGGTATTTAAACTAGATAACGGCAACTCCGTGGAGTAGCAAATCCCAACGAACAAAATATCAATTACCGAATTCCAATCAATTATACTCATTACTTTGGTTGAAAATGAAAAAATTAGATTTTAGAATTGCGAATTCCTGCAAAGCAGCCATTTTGAATTTTCTGAGGTACAAATCTGAAAAATAATACCATAATTGTGATCTACTCCAAAATTCCTTCAATTTGAGTATAATATAGCCATACTTTGAAGGGACCGAAAAATTATTGCGAAATCGTACATTAGACGGCCATTTTGAATTTTACGAGGCTCGAATCAGAAAAAAGATACAATATTTGCAATCTACTCTTAATTGCTTTTCATTTGAGTATAATAAAGCTATACTTCAGAAAGATCTAAAAATTAGCGAAAATTTCTGTTTTCCTGTCCCCCCGATACATGGCCCCTGGGGGTCAGGATGAAAAACACGGAATATATGTGAAATAGATAAATGTTGTGAATACACTACCAAAATTTCAAACAATAATATTAATTACTTTGGTTTAGAATGAAAAATTTATGATTTTTGCGAAAAAGTCCCGTCATTTTTAAAGCGGCGGCCATCTTGAAAAAATATTTTTTTGCGTAAAACTATTCACCAATATACATCTTTCCACTAAATATGAAGAAAATCTGTCAACTAGTATTTGAGTTATCTTCCGGACAGACGGACGGACTGACTGACTGACTGACGGACAGACGGACGTACGGAGGGAGGGCTTCACTATATCCCTAACGAACTTTGTTCTGTGGGATAATTATTTATATTTGGTAAATACCGAATGCTACATTCGATAAATTTTGTTATTTTTCGAAAACTTACGAGACTTTCAGTCACGTGATATATTTGTACTATGTAGAATAGCTGCACGGCCATTTTGCAAATCTCGAAGTCACGTGACAAAATATCGAACAACAACGCAAGTTATCGAATATTACTTTATTGCATTCGGTAAATAGCAAATTAGCTTTCGGTAAAATGCATTAACTATGTCATAGAAAAATAAACCATTTGGTAAATATAGGCAAACTTATTTCGGTAGGGTTCAAATAGAAATTCAATATTGTGCATATAATGTGTTACTCTTAAGGAATACCATAACAATTTACGCAAAAAATATCATTTAACAAATGAAATATGTAATTTAATGCACATAGTATTAAGTGATTGGCTATTTTGAAAACTTAATTTGCTGTAACAAACAAATAAACGTTTTTACCGAATGGAAAAATGATTTAGCGAATATAAATATTTCATATATCGAATATATTTGAATTTAATGAATAAAGAAGCAAAAATAATGCCATAAGTGTCAAGTTAAATGTCTTACTATAGACAGAATACAAGTGATCAGGCCATACAATATCATCAAACCTTACCTAATGCAATTTCTCTGGCCCATTGTAAAATGTGGTTAAAGTTTAGAATATTGTCTGGTTTCTGAAGGAAGGCATACAGTGATCCATAGCTGGCATATTCTGGAATAAAATAACAAATAACAAACTTTATGATATCACTATCATTCTAGCTAGCAACTCTATGATTGGTCAAAACCAGGTTACATGGCATGAATGCTAATCAGATAATACTACCGTTGAATATCCAGCGATATCCAATGCTCCCCGGGAATTTTCAAATAAATTCTGACAAAGATAAGTTAAAGTTAATTGAAAATATGTGGTCCAAAAAAATGGGATACTTGTATTTCAAAAATAAATATTGATTATTTTGATGAAAACATGTCATATTATATACCAATGGATAGGGAATCTACTCATCTTTAATTTGGTATATCATAAGATCAAATTTATTATCTGCCTATTATAGGACGATATGTTTATCTATTACAATCTTGATTCCCTATCCTCTTTATTCAGCACAGCAGTTGAGATAAATTGTTTTTACTGACTAACACTAGCCTTTAGGCATTTCATTAAACTAGAAAGCAAAACAGTTTTTACAGCTTCAAAACAAAAGTATGGTTTTGAATTACATTGGAGTCTTATAACTCTGTAAAACCTGTTGTGTAGGTTACAATGATCTCAGATTTCAGAATTACTATACATGTAGTATATTTAGACTGGTAAACATGTAATAAATACCTATTAATATACACAACTAGAAATCCACGGGAGTAGCAAATCCCAATGAACACAATAACATATATGAGTCTGTATATGTCACAATGTAATATTTATTTACCATGTACTCTACCCTTGATTAAATTGGCAAATATTAAAAGATACATACTAGAGATATATCAGAACTTCCACTGATTTAAGTATTTGGGTGACTATTAACAGATAAAGAAGTTTCAAAGGCATACATCATAGACAATACAATATTCTAATATACCGTAATGAGCGCACAGTGCAGTTTCCAATTTAAAATTTAAATAGGTAAGATATTGAGAGATTCAAATAAGTGCATATAGAAACAATTTTTTTTGAATTGTTATCGCAAGGTTTACATACTCTACACCACCTGTATTCCTTTCTCTGCATTATATATAATTCACACATAGCTAGGCAAGATGTGTCCAATACCAGCCAATCAGAACATGCTATTTCACGTAACTGGATCCATTATATAACCAACAATTCACCCAAGGTCACTCCTCTAGGTTCTAGAAACTAATGAAACTGATAAAGTGATAAGTTCATATTTGAGTAAAATTCTATAAATATTATCATCACATCAACCATTGACAAGGTACATTGACAAAATATACCGTAGTTCACTTTAGATGTACGATGTCACTATTTAACCGATTTGAAGCAAAGACAATGATGCAGGTGTGATGTAGGTTTTAAAATTAATATTGGGAATACTTGAAAGATTTCATGTTTAATTTCGTGTGTATTCGTTTAGGGAGACATTTAACTTTCTTATAACATTAAAAGATTTTCGAACAGTGCTCGTTTTTTTCGTAGTCAATCTACCCACAAAAATTGATCGGTTGGAAAATGTTGGGTTTTTCACATTTCCTTAATCATTTTTTCCCTGTTGCCTAAGATTGTCGATCATTTTTAACAGAATATGTTTCTCTAAAATACACAATTTAGTACGGGTGGAGATTAATAAATATTCAAGTATTTATTGTAATTTAAAAAAAATCAGAAATGTGCGTTGTCAACTCGAATGTACGTTGTCCCTGTAATTGAAATTCATGAGATATACGTAATATTAAACAATGTAATGATTTCATTTCAAAATTCATTAAGGTTTTTATGAGTAACAAGTGATCTTAAACGAATATGTTCAAGTATCCTTTTTGCCTTTTCATTTTATGAAAGTATTCATTTTATGAAAGTATTGTTGTACCCTGCGTGCAGAGTCTTGTTAAACTACACTCTGCCTAGTAGAGACCATATTACAGTTTAGTAGCCCCGCCCCCACGACGGATACCGGTGACAGTTTGGGTAAATCACTTTTGAACTATGCGTCAATCAGCGAGCTTGAAGAAACATACGCCAAATGTGTTCTAATTAAATATGCGCATGTCATTGGTCAATTCCGGACTCAACGATGATGTCAGAAGGAATGACCATATAAAGAACGTCGGTCAAATTTGGCCGATGAAAACTGATTGGCGCGGTGAGTTCAAAGGTTTATTTTAGTTTGAAAGAGTGAAGACGAAGCTCTCTTTTAAGAAGTGAAGTCAAACGAATGCAAAGGGTAGTATTGTTATGGTGGTGGTTAATTTTTTTTGTATTTATTCATTTGGTGTTAGCTTCCAGCCCAAACTCCCATCCAGTGTCTCGGAATAGAATAGGTTGAAGACTAGCACTGCCACGGAGTATGCTTCCAGCCTGTTTGATTATTTGGCGTCTGTACCTTAAGTTTTGTTAGTTACATTGATAGATAGATCTACTGATCTATACTAGCTTATTGAATATGACTTTTTAAAATCCTGTTCATGATATATCTGGAAACTTTTAATAGTTCAATCAAATTGAAGTAATTCTGTAATTGTTCTGTTTCAATTTTAAATACATCTGACCCCCCTGTCTGTTAGTCTATTGAAAAATACGTTGTCTGCATTAGGATTAACTGTGAATTGAGTAAGTCAAATGGGACAACGTGCATTCGAGTTGCAACGTACACTTATAATTTTTTAAATTATAGCTAAAATGGAAATACTTATTAAATCTTCAACAGACCTTAATTGTGCTGTTTAAAGAAACATACATGTATTCTCATAAAAATCATAAAATCTCATAAAAATCTTACAAGCGTTTTTTTTTATTGATGTTGAACAAAAATATTTTAAAACCGGAATCCTATCGACAGAGGATTTAAAAAGAGCCAATTGTTGACAGACAGAGGTTTTAAAACTAGCCACTATTTTGGACTGACTGTCGAGAGACAGATGGACAAAATCAATGTTAACTAAAATAAAAAAAACGGATATAATTATTTGCCAATTTTTGTAACAAAATTATTTCATACAACTACTCTTTACAGTGACATGGCTTTTTACAATGCAGGACACCTGAAATTATTTGTAAAGTTAGGAAATGGGCCAAAAGAAAATTTTGCGAGACAAAAAAGGCGACCATTTTGAAAATAGGTGAGCTTTTGAACCAGGAGTCATAGGGGAGTTTTTTGTATTGATGTTGAACAAAAATAACATAAAATGGGAATAATATCAACAGAGGTTTAATAAGGCAAATGGTCCAAAAGTGGATTTCCCGAGACAGATGGACAAATCAATGTTAACTAAAATGGTTGAAAATAAAAAAATTTAAATCTACAATATGTAAAAATAAAAATAAAAAATTGTCCAAAGCAGGCGTAATGTGCAGTAGACTGATGAACTTCATTCTCCAAACTGAGACTAGTCCTTTGCAGGCTTTGGGAATTACCATATTTTCTCTAATAAATGCACAGTGTGGCTCCTAAATTCTCCAGGAGGAGATGTATCAAATGACAAAATCCCAGGGATTTTGACAGATGAATATATGGGTGATAATAGGGTATTTCATGATTTTTCTCTTTAAAAGTGGACTCACTCCAACTAGATAACATAATATCAAACTTTGATATTTTCCTCATGCATTTATCGATCGGCTGAATATGAGTTAATCGACGTATATGTGTCAATATCGATGAAAACATTCACTCCAATATTTCCGGCGAAGCTGCCAATTTGGAAATTGATGGCAATACTCGAGTGAAAATCTAAAGGCTTTCTGTTACTGAATGGTCTTCATAGTCAGAGAAAATACTTTTTATATTTATATAATAATACAACGCATTTAGAAAGGAATGAATGTTTGTTTTTGTGGGAAAAGGTAACTAGACAACAGCAACACCAAAGCGTAGCAAATCCCATCGAACAGCCATGGCTGGCACTTTTACAAACAAAGTATATAGCAAAAATGGCAGCCATTTTTCAAAATGGCCACCTTCTACCAAAAGTGTCATTAGACAGTGTGCCATGCTTATAGTATTCACATACCAAATATGAACAAAATCGCTCTAATACTTTTCGAGTTATAGTAAAATACGTTAAAAGCCTTCTACCAAAGGTGATCATTAGACAGTGTGCCATGCTTATAGTATTCACATACCAAATATGAACAAAATCGCTCCACTACTTTTCGAAATATAGTAAAAAACGTCAAAATGGCTACCTTCTACCAACAGTGTCATTAGACAGTGTGCCATGCTCTCCACTACTTTTCGAGTTACAGCAAAAATCATAAAATAACGAGTAAAGGCCACCATTTTTCAAGATGGCTGCCATGTGCTTCTTAATATCTACATTTCTAGCTTTATGAATGTCCTATATTATTTTTTTACATTTTAAACATATTGCTATAACAGTTTTACATATTACATTGTAAAATCGGCACTGAAATGGCCGCCATTTTTAAATGAGCGTCCATTTTGAAAATTGGCTTTCGAGCAGAACTTCTACCTCCATAGGGTATATGTGTACAAAATATGAACAAAATCGGGCCAACGGTATTTGAGTTATTGCTCGGACGGACGGACGGACGGACGGACGAACGTACGTACAGATGGATGTATGGATGTACGGACGGACGGAGGCGTTCCCTATATCCCTCCAAACTTCGTTCCATGGGATAATGAAATATTTCTGGATCGGAAGCTCCAATGATTCACTGGCAGTGTCAAATGGTTATTTTTTTGAATTCTTTATTTTTTCTTGATTTTTGTTACTCAAGTAAGCAGTCTTTCATGGAAAAGTTGGGTGTGAGTTTATTTGAGTATGTTTTCTTAAAAAAAGTTCAGGCTAAATTTGATGTTTCAAGTTATTATGACTTATTTATGACTTATTATGACCTATTTACTTCCTGATCAACAGGTATAATATGCATCTGGTGATCAATCAATCAACTACTGAAGACAGACACCCATTAACATTATTAGATAAAGACTTAAACTTTAATGCCCACATTGACCAACTGATAAATTGATAAACAAATTGACTATTTTGATCAGACCA